CCCTATTTAGATAGTTTCCAAATAAATTCATACTTAATGCATATTTAAGCAAGTGCACAGACCCCTGCTTTCACATTTCCCTTACAGTTGTCAAAAGGAAAGCTGTCAAGGGAAAGCAAAACTGTAAGTGATCTTTCTTCATGAAAAGCAGATCACCTCCTTTGTGGCAAGATCCTGTACCTTTTGGGGCGGAACCTGGCTCTCCTACCATTTCCTGAAACTAAATGCTCAGGAAGTGCAAAAATGCAAGCCACCTGTTTTATGGGAGCAGAGCAGTTTCACAGTTGTCAAAGTTCTGGATTCCTTTTAAAATTATTTTTGAGAGGGTTAATTGTGGGGAGAATTGACAGGGCCATGCATATGCTATGTCCATGTGAAAAGCCCTGATTAGCCCTCTCAAAAATATAAAAAATAAAAAGAAGCCTGAGTTTTGACAGCCAGCTTATGGGTCAGACAACACACTGAAGAAGCCATGGGATGTCAAGTTATCGTTCCTGCGGGAAGTGGTCTGGGTTCACACAATGCAGCAGCCCACCACGGTTGGTCACCATGATGGATTGCCATGACCTGTGAATCCAGTCATTGAGTACTGTATGTACTACTTATACTTTGTAGATGAAAGGTGGGATGTAAAAGCATGTTAGTACCTGACACGTAGGATTGGCATGAGGCAATGTCCTTTTCCATGCCGCTTTTAAAATGTGTAGCATGGTTTATCAGTTTGCTTGGTGGATTCCATAGAACATTTCTGTGTCGGATCAGCCATTAGTCGGTCTGTACAGTGCAGGCCTGGGAACTCTCTACCAAATCAGGAAGAACCATATGATAAACCTTGCTACACACTTCAAAAATGGCATGGAGAAGATAGGTTGGAGGATTCTGTCTGAAGCCATTTCCATGTAATTAATGATATGTGTAAAGTGATACTTAGTGCAAGCAGTTTTCTCATCAGCTGAAGCATTTTGCCGAATGGATACCATCTTTCAGAGCGCTTGGAAATGTTTTGTCATTCATTAACTTTTTTCATCTGCACAGCAGTTGACATTTCCTACAGTTAATTCTTTGCCAATGAGAATGCATTTAAGAAATGTACGTTTATAGGGGGTACTCTTTAGAAATGAGCATTTTTAGTAGGCTGGAATGTAGGAGAGAAAATAAGATATTGACCTAGTTTGCAGAGCACAACAGTTTGTCATGGGTTACTAACCACAAAGGGTTTTGTGTAATCAGAACATAGCCCACTTCTTAAAGAGTAGCTTACTTTTTGGCAACAAGCTATTCCAACAATCTGTGGCTTATTCTAGTGGTTGGTTTGATCCATAATGAGCTGTTGGATTGTCCAAACCCAAAAGAACAATTTCACTGTGGAAGTGGCAATGAGATACCTGGCAAAAGTGGGGAAAAACCCTCCTGCTTTTCACTGTTTCATCTTCGTTGCTGCCAGTGACAGCCTCTCCACCAGTATCCAAGTGGCACTTTGGGCATGACTGTTATTGATTCATTACGTTTAAAAAAAACCCAGAAAATAACACAGATATATTGCTGATTTTGCTGTTATACTTTTGGTTGGTCGTTCATAAGTGCATGTTTACAATTTCCTGCTATGTGTGGTCTTGACTGATCAATTGCCTTTTCTATTTCAGCTGTCAGAGGAATAGGCTGTGTAGATGAAGACTGACAAGGCAGTTTTAAGTGTTGAACTGAGCAATTCACTTCACCTTTTCAGTATGTTCTTGAGTCTCCAACTACTCTTGAGAGAGGAGATATTGGCTCTTTCCACTTTTTGCAACTACTTTTTTGGTGTACTTACTGCTGTAGCTACTGTGGTTCCTGGACAGTTATTTTTTCTTTTCTTTTTTAAGCAACACCCTGAGAAATGGTGAGGTTTGGGTTAAAGTACTGCTGGTGCCTCATTTACTTTACCCCATTCTGCCACATACAAGGATTTTGTTTGTTGATTTCTTTGTTTTAAACTCATTGGCAGTATTTGTATAATTTCTTTTGGATGAGGAAATACAGTGTACAGAAATTTAATGCCTGAGAAGTAATAGAGAAGAAATTTGTGCCTGTTTTAAGGACAGGACAGTAAATGGAAGGGGAAAGCCATGCAGTAAATGGCTCCATTACAACAGGTGTGAAAAAATTCCCTCCATTTAATTTAGGCCACTAAATTGGCATATATTTCTATGTTTCTTTAGAGCTGTTAGGGAGCTACAGTGACCTCAGGAAACCGCAGTGGTAAGTAAAGAAGAAAGGATCCACAAACTGGGGAGATACAATATTTTTTCCTTTGTAGAGTAGCTGGAGACTGGTGGACAGCACTGAGAAGGGTTCAGAGTGTGAAAGACAGAGGATACCATTGTTAACTGGGAGAGGCTGGTCCCCCTCCACTTTTGGTACATCTTCCCCCTCCTTTATGGCACTTTTCAATTGTTAATTTGGCAATTAGTCCATAGCAATTGTGTGCAAGTAGTCTATATGCATTCTTACCTTGCTAATTTCCTTGTCTATTCCACTTCCCTGATTTCTTTGGTAGCTGAAACAAACAAGGAAATTGACTGGATGAGTCTACACATATTGAACAGGTTGAACCTGATAAGCTGCTGATACTGATAGTTGAACAATACTCCAGGAATGAAAAAAATAAAAAGATAATCTCAATTGTGGTATAATGGTTAAGAGTGCTGGACTGGGACACAGGAGATACGGCTTCACTCAGCCATGAAGCCCACTGGGTGACTGTGGGACAGTCACAAACACTCAGCCTAGCCCTACCTCACATGGTGATTGTGGTGAAGATAGTGGAACAGAGGAGAACTGTGTGAGACACCTTGAGTTCCTTGTAGGAGGAAGAAAGGAGGGATATAAAAGCAATGCAGCAGTAACAACAACAGTTAGGATTCAAAGGAAACATATTGCAGCAAATGAAAAGGGGTAGTGATTAGTGTGGGGTCTGTCATGAAGCACCATGAAATAGCACATGGGGGACCCAGGGGGAAGGAGAGCAAGAGCGAGAACGAGCCACTGTGGGCACACCCTCAGTTGTGTAGCTTCTTGACAAGGCATGTTGCCCATCATCTGGTTGCTTCTTTCTTACCCATTACATCTGCCTGTTCTAATTTATACAATGTGCTTAATTTCTACCTTTTTCTGGATGGATAAGTAATTGGGAAGGTGAGTTAAGAGCTAAATGAGAAGAGTCAGATTTATAATCCATGTTGTCATGTCTATGCTCAATTGGTGAAATGGAAAATAGTATGGTTGAAGTCTTTGCTCCCTCTCACTCTCTCCCTTCCTCCCTCTTTCTCCAGTGCATCATGAATTCATCTGCTGGCAATGCCCTTTTTTCCTTCCTTTTTCCTTCCAGTAGAAAATGAAAGGGCTAATTATGACAACTGCTGCAACTCGGGTTAAAAATAGCATTGCACAAAAGAATGGCATGTGTCTATGACTGGAAGAGAGAATGTAAGAGAGATTCTGTTCCCTCCATAACTCGCAGGGCAATGTATTTAGCAGCTCCCATTCGTGAAGCGACCAACCACAAAACTGCAAGAAGATTCCTTTCCTCAGTAGTAAAGCTGTTGAACAGGGACTGTTCAAGGATGTTTGCACAATGTTCTGACTTACATCTGGATTGCTACTTTGGATCAAGGCTATTAACTTCAAGGCAGAGGTGCAGGGCTACAGCTGGGCTAGAGGTGTCCTTGTCTTCATACATTAAACTAGCCATGTCCTGAGTGAATTGATTTTTTTAATAGCTTGTCTAATCAAAAATACTGTCCTCTATCTTCTAGCCTTTGATTGTAATCTGTTAGATTGACTAAAAAGTGCTTTCTTAACTCATTCGGCAGCTCCTTTTTAAAATACTATTTTTAACGAAGCTTCAATTTTAACACTGCAGGTGGAGAGCATATTTGAAAAGTGTCTTTGGGTCTTTTCTGACACACAGTTGGAATGTCACTTTTTTCAGGTGTTCAAATGTACAGGCAAAAAGCATGCTTTCACTGACTAGAGTTTATCTAATAGAACTGTGCTCACCAAGCACCCCTGAAGGAAGGTGAGGACAGAGGAGGGGAGACATTAGATTTTCTCTGCCATGTCCTACATCCTCTGAAAAGCTTGTGTGGAGGGTCAGGAGCATCCATATGCAGGCACAACGGGGTGAGTTGGGAACCCTTCACAACAGCACAGGAGGTGGCAAGAGGTTTCCCTCAGAAAGGAGATGTCAGCTCCTCCATTTCTACCAGCAGGATTCCCACTGGATTGCAATCCCTTCACTTAATGACAAGGAGCCATTCTGTTCATGGAAGGGTGGCTCTAGATACAGTCTGGATGTGGAATTTTTACTCATTGTAAATGTAGGCAGCTTAAATCAACTAAAATGTACAATTATTTAGCTGGGTTTTCTTTTAATGCCAATTTCAATATTTGAAACTGAAGAGGCACTCAGATTTTATTTTTAATTTTAAATGAGTATTATTATTTTTGAATTACTATTATTATTATTTTACCCAACAGCCAAGGCTCATTTTAGATGTGTGGTGTCTAGTACACCACTAGTAAGCTGCCATTAGAACATAAATTGAAACGTAATCTGTACCTAATGTAATATAAGATCAGTGCACAGTTTCTGTATTCTTAAGAGCTTTGGCTGTGTGCAGTATAGGGATGTAATAAATAAGCTGTAAGGACAGCCCCTAGTTGGTAAACTAACTGCAGAAAGGTAGGCCCAGAGAGCCAGAAAGATTTCAGCTAGCATAAATGAAATTGAAATGTTAATATAGGAATGAGATGGTTTTCAGTGTAGATATGCAAGTTGATTTTGGGCTCGATAAAGATGGTATTGCTCAGTGCCAAGCAACTCTTGGTAGGCAACTCTTAAACAAGGCATCCATGAATTCACTCACCAGCACATTAGAGGTGGTTCCTTTCAGGAGAAGGACATGATGTAGCCCCCATCAAATTTGCAAATGATACAAAACGGTGGACTAATAATAAACACGCTAGCAGACAGAATGAAGATCCAGAGCAGTCTTGGTAAACCTGAACTCTGGGCTAAAAGCAATAAAATGAAATTCAGTAGGGGCCAAGCCAAGTCCTCCACCTCGGAAAAAGAAACCAGATGCATCAATACAAGATGAGGAATACATGGGCCAACAGAACTGAAAAAAGAAAAAGGCATTAGAATTATGGTGGGAACAGGCTAAATATGAGCCAACAATGTGATGTAGCCACAAAAAGGGCAAATGCTATTTTGGAATGCATTAACAGAAGTATTACTTTAAATCATGAGAAGTAGTAGTTCCCCTATACTCCTCACTAATCAGACCTCATCTGGAATACTGTGTGCAGTTCTGGGCACCAAGATTTAAGAAAGATGCAGAAAAATTAGGGAGGGTCCAGAGGACGGCAACTAAAATGACCCAGGGTTTGGAAACACTGCCGGAGTGTTTGGAAACACTATGAGGAGAGACTGAGAGAAATGGATATGTTCTGCCTTGAGAAAAGAAGACTGAGGGGGGACTTGAGATCCCTCTGTAAGTACCTCAAAGGCTGTCACAAAGAGGAAGGTCAAGATCATTTCTTGCTGGTACCAGGGTGTAGGACACAGAATAATCAGTTCAAGTCGCGACAGTCCAGATTCAGGCTGGACATCAGGAAAAGCTTCCTCACTGTCAGAGCAATGCAACAGCGGAACCTGCTGCTTAGAGAGGTGGTGGGCTCTTCCATGCTAGAGACATTCAAAGTGAAACCGGAAAGTCATCTGAGTGGGACAGTGTAAATTGCTGGGTGTTGGACCTGATGGGTTTCATGGCCCCTTCCAACTCTACTGTTCTATGACCACCACCACCCCTTCCTCAGCTCTCTGTACACTGAGGTTTGAAGAAAGTTAGACTCATCAGCATCTTTTCCTCTTCTACTTTCCCATCAAATTCACAACTGAGATTAATGTCTGCCCAGGTTCTCTGTACATGCCAGGGAGCATTGGGGGCAGGGTGGGGGGCAGGTACAAATAAGATACTGACTTTGGGACCACTGGCTTCAAAGAGGGGAATTAAACAAAGTCATGGACAATAAGTCTGCAGTGGCTACTAGTCATGGTATCTATATCTGCTCCCAGATTCAGAAGTGCTACACTTCTCGACATCTGCAGGAAATGAGGATGTGCTCATGTCCTGATCATGGGCTTCCCAGAGACATCGGAGCATCCACAGTGGGAAACAGTCAGCCTTTCCTCTGACCCAGGAGAGCTGCTCCTGCATTCTTAAACTGTGGTGCTTCACTTTTCAATATCGGTCCTGTAACACCTCCACTGCATTCCAAAGATTTTGACTTGATGGCTCAAGCAGTGTTTAAATAAATGAAAGCTATACAGAAGTAGTGCTTGGAATGCCTCAAAAGGTGCCTCAGAGTCAGTGACTGAGTGTTCCCATGTGTGGAAAAGCTGAGGGGATGCTATACTAAGGTGGACTTAAAGAAATCCTTTATGTTGATATTCAGATATAATTATCCTTACATTTCCAAACCTTAAACTGATGCTAGTAGTGGCATGTGCCTGAAAAGACAGTGACATCTAATGGTTGGTAAGAAGAATTGCAGATAGCTGATTGGACTTTTTAATTTATTAACCCCCACCATGCACACACCCCTTTCCCCAGTCATGACTGAAAGTATCTTTGGTGTATCTGCCCTGACGTTACTATAATTATTGGCTTGTCATGATCGGACTAATATAAGAACATTGCAGGGTGGAAATCTGCAAGTATTTCCTGCTGCAATTTCCTGCTATTTGAGTAGCAGATCTAGAAAATCTAGATCTAGCTCTTTTGCTTCATAAATTTCCTTTATTCTGTCATTTTCATATCATGTTTGTTTTAGATTTTTAGTCTGTTTTAATGGATAATAATTGCCTTACTTCTTGTCATTCATTTAGAATGATTGGTAATTATGCTTCCATTCTGCCCCCTCCCCTCCACAACACATGCAGATACATGGTAGAAACTTCAACAAGAAGATGGGGTGAAACCTGTAGATACTTTTTCTCTCAATTGGACCCATTCATAGGATATGTAGGTGTTGTTATGCATATTTTGTTCTGAAATAATGTTTAATTTATTACAATTAATTAATTTTAGGTCTTCATGACCCCCATATAAAACCTCCCTAAATATATAGTGACATTGATGCTTATTGATCATATGCAACTGTATTAATATTGGATGATATGGACACTTAAACCTCTATTTATAAATTAATTTTTATTTTATCTTATACCGTAAAGATTAAGAACTTGCTCTGTCAACTTTGATTTTGTCTTGTGGAAGACTTTCTCTATACAAGCATTTAGCAGTATAATGATATGTTAATATATTTGCTATCTGTATCTGTAATCAGTGGCTGATAGATTTAATTTATTATTTTAGAAACAACCTTTTAGATTTATCTGAGTAAGAGACATTACATTCATATTGGGGGAGCAATACTGTAAAACATATAAAGAAAAAATCAGTTCCTGACGGGCTTGTTCTCTGGGTTTTTCTTTAGTTCTGTTTGTTTTTCTTTTAGGTACCAAAGCAGCTGCAGAATATACAAATGGTGTCTATGACATGGTGTCACCTGCACAGTCAATGTATTTCGGAACACTCCAAATCCTGCATTTATTGGAAGATTTGAAGCTGGCATTAGAAATGGTCAAGGATCCTCAAGAGAGAGAAGCTTTGCGGAATCAGATACCAGGGACTACAGCAGCTTGTATCCATGACTGGCTGGAGGAAAACCTGGTAAGCAGTGGAAGAAAGAATTCTCTCCATATTTTATGGGCAGGAGCACTGGCTCTCATATCAGCTTTGTGCATGCGTGCATTTTTTGAAGTACTAGAATCGTCCCAATAACCAGTATATAGAAGCTAATTTGTGTAGGTGACGCTATCATTCAGAAGGACCCATGGTGCAGTGGGATTCCTGGATTCAGTCTCAGATAGCTCTAATTAAAGGATATCAAGAAACAGGACTAGGAAAAATCCTTGCTACACAAAACTTGATAGAGGCAGATCTTTGAGTTTTGCGTTTGGATCAGTCACCACCACATAGAAGGGGTATGGATGGGGCATTGTAATTGCAGTAGCAAAAGAGGACTGTGTGTGTCTGATTTCCAGAGGGTGAAAAGAACTTGCTTTGTGACCCAAGCTTTCTTTTGTGACCCAAGCTAATACTTTCTTACTCCCAGTTATCAGAGCCCAGCTGAAAGGGAAATAGCATTGGGCATGATGAGATTTTTGCTCTCATCATCTGTGTGCCCCTTTTACTCTTAAAATCAAACACATCCCCCACTTTCTGCCTGATAGCAGTTCTGGGTTCAGACTGAAGCACTTAGATCTTGCATTGCCTGTGTGGTTTGGCTCCAAGACTGTGAAGAACAATTGCCAGTAGAGATAGCTAAATCTGTCAAGTGCCATTTCATACAGGCTTTTATTTCTCTACTGCTAAATTCATTCTGCTTATGTATCTAATTGCAAAATCTTTTTAGGCTGTGCCTAATTTGTATATTTTTGTGAGCATTTTTCAAAAGTAGGCATTTTTTGCAAGCAATTGTTTGTTGTTGTCAAAGTCCAATAAAATCTGCTCCAATAATACAGAGGATGGGAGATGGGTTTGATTTCAAGAGAAAACCCACCCAGGGAGGCTTATGGCTAATGGAGTGTGTGATGAAGGTCTAATAGATAAATCAAAGGGGGAAGAATAATGTGGCTTGTGTTCATTTTCCCAAATACATACATTTTTAATTCACACATTTTCAAATGTACATATTTCATATGCAGTTCTTTCTGTGAACTCTGTAGGCAAAGTGCAAATTTCAGTAATTAACTTTGCTCTAGTTTGTATTTGTTTCATAAGTTCACATTTTTCTCATCCATTTGTTTGTTGCCACTTAGAGTAGATAGAGCATTAGAAGTATACGTGGTTGAAAAGGATATAAGAGACCTTTCTGCCTTGACAAGTGACAGCCTTCCAAAATCTGAGAATGGAGATAAAATAATGTGAGTCTGAAGGGCAAAAATAAAATAAAACAAATCTGGGCGGAAAGGAACTCATGTTCAGCATTAGTTCAGCTGCATAGCCTGTGTACTCTCAGCTGGGGTGGGTGAGAGATAAGTGTTTTTGTTTAAAACAGCCGCAGCAAAAGGCTACGGGAGAGAGCAGTTTTATGATTTTGGCCTCTGCCGCTATTCAGGAAAGAGTTCTTCAAATGCAGGATATGCTGTGTCGCCTTGCAAGTTAATCAGTCTTTCCACTTGGGAACATGTTAATGTGTAGTAACCCTCTGGAACAATTTCATTTCATTTGTTAGCATACTGACCCGGCTTCAAATTGCCTGCCTCCAGGTATTGTCTCACACTAAGAAACTAACAACTGTTAGTTTAAGCATTTAAAACATGTGACTTTATAGTTGGTCTCTCTCTTAACGAGTTGACTACTGCTTCAGCTTGGTTCTTACTGGTCAAAGCTTTGCTATCTTCTACTGCACATCTCAATCACAGAAAATAGCCTCTGCAGGTAGAAGGTCTTCATGGGCTGGGCATCTTAGAATTTGCCATAAGTTCCATGTTTAAGAATTTATTCATTATGTTTTTTTAATACTGTTTCTTATAGCTGACCCTGCTAAGAGTGTGCCCAGTGCCTTCACTTCAGAGGCATGTAAGCCTCCAAAGTTGGAGGCTTACTTCAGCCAGTGCATGGAATGCATCGCATTTCGAGGTTTGGCATGCACTGGGGTTGAGTGTTTGTTTTCAGAAAGCCTCTCCTGAAGTGATGGGGTCCAGGCATGCTCATAACTTCAGGTCCTGGAGGTGAATCCTAGCTTGGGTTCAACAAGCTGCTGTGTACATTCTCAGAGATTCTTTCTGGGTATTTCGTGCTTTTGGTCGATAAAGAACACTTTGCAAGGAATAGCCTGTGGTTTTGAATGTGTGAAGGAGGAACCTCGGCTCCAGACAGCTGCAGTACTGATAAGAATCAGCATCAGTCCTAACCTCTTTCTGTTCCAGCCCCCTGTAGTCCCCCTGT